GCATAAATTTACTAATTTTTGCGGAAGAACGCCCATTTCTGTACATTTTTGGTCATCTTGGTTAGAATTGGAATTTGCAGACTGACAGTGAAATTTTGTGTGTTAGAAGTTGGTTAGAAGGATGGCTGCACTTTTGGGCCCTAAGACCTCCATGAAGCGATCTGTCCATACTCTCGCTATACATGTACTCTACAGAAACCTAGCGTGATGCAGAAAATTTCGGAGGCAAAATTGCATCTCTGTTGATGAGATTTTCTTATGAACTTGGCATCCAGATATTTGTCCTACTTTTACCCAGATTATCTCTTCCGTCACTATAATAGCAACAACATTAGCAAAAACATCCTTGATAAGAGGTAGCATAGTATTCCGGAGAACCCAGAGAATTTTGTATTAAATATTAATAATGCTCCTATGAGACAATAAAAAATAGACCATTATAAACTAAATCTGTCAATAGCTCTTGCTGACAACAACTTGCTACATCAACTTAATCTGATGTTCAGAAAAATAGGAAAACCAACTATATTACTATCATTTCCATGCAAACAGCCAACCTTGCATTAATTGAGGAATGATAAATACTAGAGTACCTGTATAGCGAGAGTATGGACAGATGTGAAACTCCGAAAATCCATCAGGCCTTCACCGATGTTTCTGCGAATAAAATTAGGGCCCAGAAATGCAGCCAACCTATGAATTTCAATTATCCAGAACGATTTACTAATACTATTGTTACGAACCGTCGTTTATTAAGCACGTGTTTGACTCAGTTTTTGCATAAATTTACTCAATTTCGCGGAAGAACGCTCATTTCTGTACATTCTTGGCCATCATGGTTAGAATTGGAATCTGCAGACTGGCAGTGAAATTTTGTGCGTTAGAAGTTGGTTAAAAGGGTGGCTGCACTTTTGGGCCCTAAGCCCTCCATGAAGCGATCTGTCCATACTCTCGCTATACAGGTACTCTAATAAATACAGTTTTTAACCATGCCCCATGCCTCAGAATTTCTACTATTTGGAGTTGTGATATAAAGAAAATTGTTGAATTTTTAGGGGAGAACTAGAAGTTCACAGTGGAACTTTCATCTACTTAGTGGTAATGAAGGTACCTTAACCATACATTAATTGAGGAATGATAAATACAGTTTTAAATATATGCTTTAGAACTTCTACTATTTGGAGTCGGGGAACAAAAAAATGAGATTAATCGTTTGCATTTTCATTTGCCAACTAAGTTCACAATAGAACTTGCATCTACTTGGTAGTGATGAAGGTAAATGAAGAACCTCATCAGGGTGTTAAGTAAAATTGAGATTCTTGCATCATTCATTAAATTTAAATGAAATAATTGTGAAAAAAACTCTGAAAAATAATACACTGATTTTTTAACACTTTGCTTACGTACATCTTACTTTAAAAAATTGTATGCGAGGAAAGTATTATGGAACTTGCGAAATCTGATTTCATCATAAAAAGGATAATGCAACTTCCCCATACGGTTCGAATCCTCTGCGTAATTACGATCCAAACATGCGAACCGCGCGCGCATCAAAGCCTCACTTTTGGTCGCCTCATGTCTCCCGTGTGTGGCACCCTTGAACACAGTAACCTGAACGTGCAGTCAATATTTTTTGGTTAGTTTTTCTTTGGGTTACATTGACTATATCTTTTGGTTGAAAATTGTCAATTTTGATAACAATCAGGCGCAAACCGCCAGAATCGAACCCGTATCATATTGGGAACAGTCCAATGCGCGAGCCATTAGCATTTGTCGCAAGCTCTAGTCCGGGTTCTTATGTTCAAAAAAAGCTTCCCGTGGAACGGTAAGTGAAGCAAGTGTGGAAAATATCTTAATCTCTTCATTTCGATGCGTAAAAGAGGAATTTCGATGTTGTCAAGCGCAATTTTGCGTCTAACCCCCAAAAATCAAGATGGCGGCCAAAATGGGGGCTCGGGGGGTGAAAATTATGGAATTTGATTTTGATGTCATGATTGGGGTCAATTCTTATGTAATTTTGGTCGTAGAATCCGAATTTAAGGTCCAAAATACTCTCCGACCCAAAGGGATGCCCCAAATCCAAGATGGCCGCCAAAATCTCCAAGATAGGGTCAAAACTGCGATTCGTATGTAAAAGTGCCAAGTAGGGTGTCCTTGGTAGGGTTCTTTGGGTCGGAGATTTCACCTATGATGTCAAAAACTTACAACGGATCCATTGAAGCCCAAAAAAAATCAAAATGGCGGCCAAAAGGGCTGCCGTTGCGGGGTGAAATATTTTGTTGAGGCAAATATCATCGAATGAGGTGTCACTGTATAGGTTTTTTGGGTCGTAGATTCCAAAAATGAGGTGCAAATAACAAAATAAGCTGATAGAAGTTCTCCAAAAGCCAAAATGGCGGCCATAATGGCTGCCGCCCAGGCATTGAACGCGTTTGAACAGTAGGGTGTCCCATTTTGGACGTTACAAAAAAAAAAAAAAAAAAAATTGCGAAATCCAACAGAGATACCTGCCAAAAAGTTGTCTCATAGTTAGAGAAAAAAACACAAAAAAATCTCAGGGTCGTAGCTTAAGTTTGAGTGGTCCCGCAAGGTAGTTAAGATGTTTCACCGATTTCTCATCTTGGCAATCTTGGCGATCTTGCAGATTTTTTTTCGGTAAATGCAATCGAGGTAAAAAGTCGCAAATGCGGATAATGAAACTTCTGATACAATATTTTAAGAGAAAAATAACGGTTTGGACCCACGAGGATTAGAATCTCTCGTTCTTAGCTCTCAAAATGCAAAAATCAGCGATTTTAGCATTTTGTAGTCAAACCGCTGCTCGACCGTCGCTCGACTCAAATGTCGCGGCATTTGACGCGCTGTTTCACAATGATCCCATTGTAGGAGTAAAAAGTCCTTCAAGTATGTTCATTAGAGGTGTAAGAGGGTCACTTTGGCCAATTTTTGTTGCTTTTAAACATTGAGCTCATTGTTTAAAATGTTTTTTGTTTTGTTAATATAATTTTCCTGTTTTTCATCATTTTTTAAAATGGTTTAAAAAGGGCGACTCATCTTACACCAAAATTGAACTCCTTTGGCGAACAATATACGTAGATGGTCAAATACTTCCTCTAAAACAGTTTTTGGATTCAAAGCCTCCCAAAAAAGCCGATGTTGCCATATTTTATCCCCGGAAAACACAAAAAACCGAGTACCTATTTCAGTATTAGGAGGCTGTTCCTCACCGAGCTCATTGAGCAAATTTCAGCAAACCTTGAATTTTCATACGTTATGACCAGATTACTAGTGATTATGTACATGTGTTTATCTATACAGCCTCCCACCGCGGCGCGACGTTGCCACATACCATCGATAAAATTAGATGGAAATCCGAGTTTCCTTAGATTTGAGCCATTTTTTCGGATATTGCACATGGAATACTTATGTAAAACTTAAAATGCAGTATTCAGAGATGGAAGGGGATCATACCTCGTGGCAATAATCATTATTTTAAGATCCTGCGCTTATCGACGACCCATTTCTTACGAATGCTAAGCATGATGTTTGTGATGTCTCCAAATCTTAGGGAGTGCAAACTCCTTGAAGGACTTTAGGAGGGTAGAGGAATTTCCACTTTGCGGTTTGAGAAAAAAATGGGAAAATTACGAGGCAGCATTCTTAGCAATCGGTACCCGTCCAAAAGGACGGGGGTGGGGGGGGGGAGAGGGCTAGGTTTATGGGTGGGCAAACTCTCCATGCCGCCCTTGGGGAGTAAAGAGGGGGCCACGATCCCTAAAGTCGGGAGACATTGTGCCTCCCTCTTTTACCCCCCAAGGGAGGGTAGGGGGCTTCGGGGCCATGAAATTCGGATACCTTGGGGTCAATTCCCTGTTTAACCCCGCGGTCCCCCACTTCGTACCACCTAAACCAACCGAGAAAAAGACCTGGTACGGGTGGTCCGGGACACCCTGTATAACGAAGCATAAAAAACATATTTATAGGAGGGGAAGGGTGGGGAAAGGAGAAAATATCAATAATTACAGCCTACAGCATGAATATAAGGCCCTAGCAGTGAAACAACCTCTGCCTCGCCCGGGGGGGATGGAGCGCCGCCAATATGCCGCCCGCGCGTAACCGGGAACGCGCAGAAAAATCGCTATAACTAAAGAATAAAACGTTTCCTCAAAGTCAAACAAAGTGTGGTAGATGCAGAATTTCATGGAAAATCACCTCAATTGGTTTTTATTCACATAGCAACAACCGCCTGGAGAGGAGAGACGAAAAACGAAAAAAAGTAGAACCTTCAAAATCGAAAAAATCGATTTATGACTACGATAAATTACGCAACCATGCAAACAGCATCAATATTCGTGTAGAGAATATTTTTTAACGTTTTTTAGCGCAAACCGCAACACTTACACTCAAACCGTTCGCGAAATATCGATTTTTAAAGTTTTGAAAAAATTGCAACTTTGCCCCCCTGCCCCCTCCCCCCTAATCATCCGAGGGGGCTGACATTTTGCCCAAGCATCGGGAACACTTAGTACAACATCTGAACAAAGTTTGGGCCAAATCCAGGGGGGGGGCCAAAATCGGCGTTTTTGGAACAACCTCTTTCACTAATTCAAGTTATTTTCATCCACATGTGTAACAAATCAATTCGAATAGTGCAGACAAATCCGACATTATCCGATGGTCGCTGAGAATCGTTGCTGAATTTTGCTCGGCACGCGCAAAATTCAGGCATCAGGCCGATGACTTCCACATTCAGCGTGTGATTGCGGCATGAACAGCGCGCCAGTCCGTGTACTTTTCTACGTCATAGCAAATCTTCAAGATGGCTGCCTTGCCACCACCTTCTGTATTTTCTCTATGGAGGAAAATAACGAGTTTAATTTTTAGTTAGGAAGAGCCAAGAGTCTTTTGGTAAGAATATGATTTGCAAGTAGAAGTAAATGCGGATTGATATCCACGAGGATTAATCATTTAATCTCGGATGGTGGGGTTGCTTGTTCCAGGCTGGTCGGCCTGCTACTTCCCGTCGGAGCTCCAGGGGGAGTTCGTCATGCAGTCGTCCGTCACGGCCGACATTGGGGTCCAGTACTCCACCGTCAACATCAGCAGCGAGGCAATATCTATTTGGGGCCTCTGCCATCGCAGGAGCGGAAGTAGCGTCATCCTCCTCGACAGGTAATCAAATCATGTATTTCACCCTCACACAGGCCATTCAAAGTCAGTTCTATTACCTTGATTCAAATATATCCCCATTCAAGAAATCAGGGGATCTACTAATCCGGAAAGTCCGGATGTAGTATTGAAAAAGTGCGTAGATTCCGCAAGGAGGTCAGTAAGTTTATCCCTCAGACCATACTACTTTTTTAATAAAGCCTGGAAAGTATGCAATCTGTTGCGCTTTAATTCCTGGAGTAGTATTAGGGGCCTATGCCTTCTGGCCGCAACGTGGCGCAACCCCTCCGCTTCGCGGCCTCTTCTTAGCTTCTTTTTAATGTTGGTTCTTTTTCCCTCAAAAATTACGACATATAGAGAGTGTCTCAGGATTAAATACGAATATAGAAGGATTCGATTCTTTGGGTCTAAAAAAGACGTTGTTGTAGTGTAACTTTTTTTCCAAAAATGCTTTCCCTGGGAGCTACGGCCCCCCCCCCCCCCAAGTTGGAGGGAAAAAATCGTCTTTTTAACAATTTGACAATGTTTATCAACCAATATTAATGAAAATTGGTAATTGGGGGTAATTTTTCGCGCACTCTTCATTTTTGACCTTCAAAAGAGGGAAAACTTATTTTAAGGGGGGGTGGGGTATCGAACTTATATGTGACCAAAATTGATGTTTCCAGCAACAAAAATTGATTTTTGACGGCACCTCTATATTTAGGTAACGTTGAAAAATATTGAATAAAGGTATCTTGCGTTTTTCGCTATGACTCATCGTTTCCGAGATAATAGGGACTGTATTGAGCGAATGGGCGCGAAGGGGGTGGGGGTGACCCCCAGGGAAATCGTTTTTGATTGAAAAAAAAAAAAAAAAAAAAAGTTACTCCACAAAAACGTCTTTTTTTGACCCAAAGAATCGACTCCTTCAATATTCTTACTTAATCCTGAAACACCCTGTCTATTCCTTTTGAGAAGAAATAATTTGTGTTTGTGTTTAAGAGAGAAAAAAAAATCTGAAATCAGAAGGATGCATGGATCTATGATCGATTAATGAGCCATTACTGTGAAACAACGGCTTATAATTAACAGGTCACAGTCGATTACTTCGGACGTCGAGAACTGAACCCACATCTCGGGCCCAAGCGGAGGAACACTAAACTTGACACCCCAGTCGCCCTTTTGGGTAGCTACATAAATCGAGATGTCCGTTGTCCATTCTCTCCCTACAAGGATTCTGTGGTAATCGTTCCTCCGTGATTCCGCACGCAGCTAGCGCGGATTGCATTGATCTTGTGAAGCGCGACATGCCGTCTGAACTCGCATTCACTGTTCCCCGATTTTTATCCAATTTTGAACGCATTATTTAAACATTTGTGTCCAGTTAAAACTTATGTTCCTTTTAACTGAATTCTTGATTTTTAGAAAACTGTGAACAAAAGCATAAAACTGAATGTGATAATATAGATACATTCTCATAGCGCGGCGCGCTTTTCCAACACTCGGTGTTGGAATTCCCTGCTTGTCTTCTTCTTATCGGCAAAAAGGAGGGTGAGAGTTGTAATCCCATCCCATCCCATCCCATCCCACCTATAATAGTTACCGGATCTATGTCAGCAATTCTTTCGTTCACGATAATTATCGTCAGATTTACGTTAGCTGTCTCAAATTTTGTAATTTTGTCCATTTTGATCTGATGAAGAACTGTATAGATTTTCGGTTAAATCGCATTTACCGTTTACTTATACACGGTAATTAACGTAAGTGCCCTACTTACGCTGTTTTCCACTAAACTGTTTTTATGAAAGTTTCATTCCTTGGTTTCTTGGTAACCTTTGTTTGCTATCAGCAGATGTTTTATTTCCATTTCTCGGCCAAGTCAACGGATTTTATACTTTTTTTTTTTTTTTTTTTTAATCATTGCCAGGTTAGTTCTAATTTTTTTGCCAGCATTTATTCTACCTCTCCCCTCCCAGCTCATTTTTCTAACTCCCGTAGCCCCCCCCCCACTAATTTTTTATTTATATTTTTTTTCTTATGGCATGCCTTGCACCCCTACCATCATATTTTGAGGTTTCATTCGTAGGGATAAAGTATTGTTTTGTATATAGATCTTCGATAAATCGTTCGATATAAAGCAGGATAGACAGGGATAATACGGAATTTATTGATAGTCACCGGGATAAAAGGTAGGAATTTTAAGAAAAGGGGAATAATCAGTGTGAAACGGGGTAGATAAGAATTAAACAGGATAGATAGTGATAAAACAGGGTAACGTCTATCGATCTTCGATATATAGTTCGATATAAAATATGATAGACATGGATAAAACGGGATGGGGAACGACATTGATATTAATTGAGTTAAATGGAGGAAGTTTGAGAAAAGGAGAATAATCAGTGTGTAACCGTAAAGATAAGGATAAAACAGGATAGGTAGGGTTATCCCACCCTTCGATACATCGATCTTTGTTTATCGATCTTTGATAAATTGTCCGATATGAAACAGGATGGGAAAGTGGAATAATCAATTTGAAACGGGATAGATAGAATAAATCAGGATAGATATGGGTAATATTGGATATAGATAGGGATAAAACGGGATGTATTGATATTAACCGGGATAAAAGGTATGTTTATCGTGTTTGAAGATTTTGCTGTGTTTGTTGTGTTTGATGTATTTGTTGTGTTTGTAGTGTTCGTCGTGTTTAATATGTTTGCTGTGTTTGGTGTGTTTGTTGTGTTTGATGTGTTTAATGCGTTTGTTGTGTTTGATGCATTTGTTGTGTTTGATGTTTTTGTTGTGTTTGATGTTTCATGTGTTTTTGTCGTGTTTGATGAGTTTGCTGTATTTGTTGTGCTTGATGTGCTTGATGTGTTTGATGTGTTTGATGTGTTTGTTGTGTTTGATGTGCCTGTTGTGTTTAATGCGTTTGTCAAGTCTGATATGTTTATCGCATTTGATGAGTTTGCTATATTTATTGTGTTTGATGCGCCTGTTGTATTTAATGCGTTTGCTGTGTTTGATGTGTTCGTTTTGTTTCTACTCAACTCACCTATATTCTATCTTCAAGTATACAGGGCGTCCCAAAAGTCCCTTTCACCCCTTCTAAAATTTTACCTAATTAATATTTTGAAACAAAACTTCGTGAATGTTTAAAGATCAATGTAAGCTACTTTCAGGGTCCCCAAACTTTTTGCCCCCCCCTCCTGGGGGGGGGGGGGCTACGGGNTTTTTTCAAACGGCAACATCTCCTTTGTGACACATCAATTCAAAGAGAATTAAAAAAGAAAATTTTTGGCACAAACCGCAAGTCAAACTCTTGATTTTTGACAAACTGACCGCCGGTCAAATTTCAAAATATCGGAAATCTAAATCCCCGTTTTCGTCAATGGATTGGGATGAAACTTGGTTCTCACAGGTTTTTTAGAACGAGAAAAACGATTCTGGCATTATTTTTCCGGAAAATTTTTGTCCTTCTCAAAATGGCGGCGGTCAATATGGCGACCTTGAGCGGCAAGAGAATAAATTAGGCTGCTTATCGCTGAATTTGCATGAAACTTGGTATTAGGGGACACTTCGGCATGAAAAAGACGAATCTGTCATCAGATTTTTTGAAATTCTGAATACCTTCAAAATGGCGAGGAAAATGGTGGAAACTTGGTATTATGGACGTTTACGGGTGGATTCGCATGCTGCCATTTTGAAAGTATTTGACATTTCAGAAATGCATTGCGGAAGAGGCATGTTTTGTCAAACCAAAAACCAACAGGACCCAGAGTTTCATTCGCATCCAACCGTAATACCAAGTTTCTGCATTTTCCAGATGCAAAAGGATTGATAAGCATAAAACTGCATTTATCCCGTTTAATCTAAGTTCATCCTAATTCAGTAACATTCATCCTTGCCGGACAAAGAATTTGATTTTAAATTAATTGAATTTTAAATAAATTAAATGTGTCGAGTTTTATAAATTGAGAGTAAGATAAAAAAAACATCTAATCACACATTGGTAGGTCATAGGTTATGTTACATTTTTTTTGTCTACCGGTTCAAGACCCCCTTCACGCTCTTAACCTCTCACCATAAATTGTGCTGAACACTTATCAAGTAGATTACCGATCTCTCCAATTAAAAAAAAAAAAAGAAAAAAAAGTGTTTACCAAACAGGAAAAGATTACAGTAACGCCATTTCAGTTCACCTTAAATTTCAAGGTAGGCAACACGAGTTTCTACGTGGTTGAATGCAGTGGCGTAACGGGCGCCCCCGCAGACCCTGCTATGCAGGGGGGCCCAGACGCCTAGGGGGCCCTCCCTCGGCCGCCGGGATTTTTTTTTCTCTCTCTCTCTCTTTTTGATGCTCACCTTTGGTTTCAAAATTTTGGCCTCTACTTACAGGGATGGGGCTTCTTCCTCTGATTTTTATTGTTAGCTCGGGGTTTTTCTTACTGCTTTCGGACTGTTCCTAACTTTTTGTTTGCTGGAGGGTCCCTGCTTTCCAATGTCCACTCAGTGATTACTAGATAATTTTCTCTTTTTTTGTCACTTCTCGTATTTCGATCTTTGGGAGGGGGGAGGCCCAAGAATCTAATGGCCCCAAGGCCCTTGGGGGCCCTTTGATTCTTGGGCCTGGGCCCCCCTGAAGATCCTTGGGCCTGGGCTGGGCCCCCGCCCCACTTTGGATCGTTAATCCTTTATTGGCCCTATTTAATCGGGTACGGGATCCGGGACGGTGAGGGATGAGTCAAATTCAACCTAAGGACATAACGTAAACATAGGCTAAATCCTGCACATACCATACCTAAAGGTAAAAAGATATAAGCTGCTGCCACTTTGATATTTTTGGTAGTTAAGGCTGATTTTTGCAGAAATTTTCGTGCTGCGGGCCCCGACCATAAGAGGAAAAACGGGAAGGAGCGAGGGAGGGAGAGGGGCGCGAAGAGAAGATAATTTTGAAATTTTATCGACATGGGGGGGGGGGGGGTAGAAAAAATTTTGCGGGGGGGCCCAGCGGAAGTCCG